TGGTATAATCTCATTAATCGATGAGTGAATGACGAAGTTCTGACATAAGATTAACATGTTCAGTATGTCCTCTGTCCATTTCGTTAAGACTCCAGACTACATGAGACAGCAACACGAAGGATATGAAACACGTAATATTGAATATAATTTTTTGCTCAGATATCAACGTTTGTTAAATGGTATAATCTCATTAATCGATGAGTGAATGACGAAGTTCTGACATAAGATTAACATTTTTAACTGCAATTCAGTTTCAAAGTCACCTTGCAGAGCTACCTATGTTTTTATTGTTTGTTTGTTTTCTACTTATACGTTTCAAACACCTGTACCAACTGGCACAGCTGTAGGTTGTGGTGCTCCCACAGCCTAAACGTTTATACTGAGACTTGTTTCAGTCCAACCTTTGTGTATGTATGTGTGTCTATATACATATATATTATTTTGTATTTTATTCAGGCTCATTCCATGCTTTCTTGTGGTAGCATTCAACACAGGAAGTGCAAGGTCAAACTTTTATAGAACTTTTTTTTTATTTTCCTAGACCATTAATCATCTGAATTAATGTTAGTATATTTTCATTGGTGATTGGATAGTTAGTTGGGTGTCGTTATAGCTGATTAATAACTGTCTGAAACCAGGTTCGTTATAATTATGTGTACAGAAATCGGATCTTGTAGAACGTGCAAGTAAAAAATGAATAATTGTTATCACAGCGATGCTAATGAATTTCTGAAAATATTTCAGGCAAGCGTATTTAATGTTAGCCATTTCTAATATGATAATATTACTGGTTAAAATATGCTGGAAAAATGAGTAATGTGAATTATCTCAAATTTGAAAAACTATCATGTAAAAAAGTATTAATTTATAATACAGTGAATATGGTGACAAAACGTGTAAATTCACTCCACTCAATGAAAAACAGCTATAGAGCTGAAACCACCAGGATGCGTGTAGTAGAAAGTATGGCGCAGAGACGAATATTAATCGTGTATATATATATAAAATCAATGTATTCAGATTATTTAAGCTTCTGAGATAAATCTATTATGTATATCCCTTCTTCGCTTACATTCGTCTGTTACAAAATTTAGCAGCTGTATTATTATATTTCATCAGTGTTAAGAGTACAACCTTTGTTACTTGTACTTTTGTATTATGAGATTCTGAAATGCGTGTTACTATAAATAGGGGTGGGATTGGCCTAGTGGCTAGTGTGCTGGGCTGCATCATCGGAAGGTCTGATGTGAACATCATGATGCTGTTGATGACGCTCTGTGGGTGCATTATAACAGAGACAGTCAATTCCATGAATCAGTTCAAAGCCGGCCAAAATCCATGTGGTGGCTGGCGCTGCTGACTGGCTGCCTTGTTTCTGGTCAGTAGTGTAAAACGTAGGGGTAGGAGTCTCTTATCCGGTCGTTTATCCTATGTATTGCTTTAAGGTGCCTTTCAAGTTGCAAAAGTTTGCGAGTATTCTTACATGCCAAAATTCTACTGGTAAACTTATATTTTGCTGGTACTTCACTATTGTAACGATCTATGTGTGTGGGAAGTTGCAAATTAGTAGAAAATTAATTTTTGAGGTTAAGTGTTAAGTGTTAATACCGACAAACTCATATCCAAGAATTACCTTTTTTTTTGCAGTTGGTGGAACATTTGCTTTAAATATAGCTGAGGTCGCAGAATTCTATGGTCTACTGACCATCTTCAGCTACTTCTAGTGAGATTTATAAGAACTAACTCCTCAAACAAAATAAAAAAAAGATTATAAGAAACAAGTATTTGTTTTTGCATTGTGTGCAGTGATGAAAATATATTCTAACGAGTCAAATCTTCGGGACTTCAGTTATCTGGTTTCTAGTTAATTTACCTCAATAACTTTTATGTAGCTCCTTTCATTGCTAGAAGACAAATCAGTGTTCTGTTAAAACACGTAGTATGTACTCTACGTAAAATGATTTTCATTATGCTTATAAATCATTGTTTGTCAATTTAATATTGGACATTCCTCTGCCAGGATAAGTTTTCTTTAATCTTGTAGGTTTAGATTCTAAATCAAATATAACAAGTGAATAAATTAAATAATGTTATCAGAGTTTCTTCGTCTGTGAAACATTTGTAAACTTCTTTAATCTATTTTAACTAGCATGGTTATGTATGTGTGTATTATAGGTATAGAATTTGCTAATCATATATAATTATTCCACTTTGCTAATCCTTCATTGCTTTTATATCTTTAGTGGTCAGTTTGCTGTCGTCAAGCGATGCGTGAAGAAAGCGACTGGGCGAGAGTTTGCCGCCAAGTTCATCCGCAAGCGCCGTACCGCCAGCAGCAGACGGGGCGTGGCCCTTGAGGACATACACCGAGAAGTGTATATTCTGCGGTCAGCACACCATGACAACATCGTACAACTACATGATGTCTTTGACATCGGCTCCGAAATTGTTCTTGTCTTGGAACTGTAAGAGAATCATTATTGTATCTTTAGCCTTTCTGTTTGGATAATTTTTCAGAATATTTTGCAACGGTTAAATTACGTAGTTCGTGCACTTGGTATCGCAGTCATGGTTGCTATGCAATTACCCGTGTTCCGCTAACCTGGTTACAGTTTTTTTTTTGTTTTGTTTTTGTCGTTTTGATCGAATTGAGTTCGTCAGAGCAAAAACTCACAATCCTGAGAAAAATAACATTTATATATTTTTATATATGTATTAAATGATAATGACCTTTTATCCGGTGTAATTATTCCTCTGTACACAAGCGTAGCTGATCATTGTTTCGAGTACATATTATTGTGTACATGGGTAAAATAAGTTATTCTGTTCTATTGCTATTGTTTACGCCATCTCATTTGAAGTGACGCTTATTTTGGTTGTTATACGCGTGGAAAGAACTTTATCATAAGTTTTATTTATATTTAAATATAAGCTATCGTGGGCATGCTCCTGAGAGTGATAATAAAATTCTAGTGTTTGATTAGACAAAAGTATTTCAAGAATTGCATGGCGCTTGTTGCTGTTTACTAGTTGCCTTTTTTTCTAGCCTATCAGCTCAAAATTAGAGACTGGCTATGGTGGTTAGCCTTTATCTAGCTTTACGCGAAAATTCTAAGACAAACGTATAGGCCCAGCATGGTCAGATGGTTAGGGCACTCGACTCGCAAGCTGAGGGTCGCGGGCTCGAATCCCCGGCCCACCAAACGTGCTCGCTCTTTCAACCGTGGGAGCGTTATAATGTTACGATCAATCCCCACAATTCGTTTGTAAAGGAGTAGCCCAAGAGTTGGCGGTGGATGGTGATTACTAGCTGCCTTCCCTCTAGTCTTTCGCTACTAAATTAGAGACAGCTAGCGCAGATAGCCCTCGTATAGCTTTGCGCGAAATTCAAAACAAACAAATCTGTATTATTATACCAAACAAAGTTTCAATAAAGCTTAGAACACTGTACCTCTTTAATTCATCTAGTTAACGGACTTCCATCTAGCTTGAGCGATTACTCGTAACAAAACATTAACCAATAATTGACCAAATATCTTATTTTCTTTTTGTCAAGAAACTGAATGTTTATGTAGTGTGTACGTGTATTACGCATATTATACATTTATATTACAGTGTGTAGCCTATCCTTTCTCTGTACGACACTGGCTAACCCCAAATAGGAAGACATTCTGAATATCTTACTAGCTATCTTTAGGTGTGATCCGTATTCGTACGTAAAAGTAGGTGTTTTCGATAATTGTTGAATGTATATAATATGACGTACGCGTACACGTGAAACAGAAGGTAAAAAGCCTAACGCAGAGCATCTGTATTAGTGCAAAGTAGCGCATCTGTTGTGGGGCAAACATTAGAAAAGTAGATACTTTTTTGGGGACACGTAAAACGTAGTATGATACGTGTTTCCTTAATCTTCAAAATTTTTTATTTAATACCATTGTATGCAGTACGTAACAAAGCCGCCATTATTAGCATGTCTATATAATATTACTATATAAACCATATTCTTATAATTTTATAAATTTCAGAACGACCTGTGAATAGTGATTCTTTTGTTAAAAACATGAAACACGAACATCTTAATATGTTACTGTTTTTGTAAACATGAAACACGAACATCTTAATACGTTACTGTTTATGTAAACATGAAACACGAACATCTTAATATGTTACTGTTTTTGTAAACATGAAACACGAACATTTTAATACGTTACTGTTTATGTAAACATGAAACACGAACATCTTAATATGTTACTGTTTTTGTAAACATGAAACACGAACATCTTAGTACGTTACTGTTTTTGTAAACATGAAACACGAACATCTTAATACGTTACTGTTTTTGTAAACATGAAACACGAACATCTTAATATGTTACTGTTTTTGTAAACATGAAACACGAACATCTTAATACATTGCTGTTTTTTATAAACATGAAACATGAACATCTTAATACGTTACTGTTTTTGTAAACATGAAACACGAACATCTTAATGCGTTGCTATTTTTGTAAACATGAAACACGAACATCTTAATACGTTACTGTTTTTGTAAACATGAAACACGAACAACTTAATGCGTTACTGTTTTTGTAAACATGAAACGAACATCTTAATATGTTACTGTTTTTGTAAACACGAAACACGAACATCTTAATACGTTGCTGTTTTTTCTGATTTTAGTAGTGAGCTGGTTCACTATTTTTGTTTTAAAACTAATGCCAGCGTAAGCTGCCTATGTTAACATGCATAGCACGTAGCAGAGGAAAGTGCATTACCGAACTAAATGAATCAAGAACATGATCAGTGCAGATGTGCCGCATCTGTTGTCACAGTATAAAATTGGATGAGTCATTTCTTGTTGTAGCAGGAAACCTACTTCTAATCGAAAACCACGTTAGTATACATGACAAACATCTGGACGATCTATACAATTCGGGCCGATTTACTCCTTAAACATTTACACATGAAACCACTGATCCAAGAAGATGGAAATGATTTTTTCCCAAGATCGCACAGTGTGTAAAATCCAGACTCAAATGTAATTAGTTCTCCTGCCAACTAATACAGAGTCCATGAGATGACCATGCTATTTACAAAGGACGTTCATATTTATTTGTGAAAAGTTTATTCACTTCACTGGAAACAAAACCATTTACAATTTCTCTAAGTGACTTCCTGCGAAGCCTGTTTATCGAGTAGATCTCTTAGTTTATTTGTACTTAATCTTTTGTCTCTTAATTTTTGACGTTCTTTCCCTTTGCTAAATATTCGTGAATAAAAAAAAACAATGTTCATTTTATGATCATAAGCTATACAATAGGTTGTTTAACTGGTTGTAGGTTATGCGTATCTTTAAAACTTCCGTTGCACCGAGGAGAGAAATTTTAATTGCTTATTATTGTACAAGTTTAGCAGTGGGCTTGCTAACCTGCATTGATTTGGGTATATATATGATTAACCGTGAAGTTGTATTAAAACTGTTACAACTAGTGACATTTTGTTCTTGGGTTAAATTCTTATCTTATTTGCCGTATTTTTCGGAATATAAGACGCACCAGTGTATTAGACGCACCCTTATTTTGAAGACAAAGTTTTGGGAGAAAAAAAGCTACAGTCGCATTTGAAAGATTTTTATTGAACAAAAATTCAATTTGATACTTTAAAAATTAGTATATATTGTTCTAAACACAAAAGAGCTCAAAACATACAAAATAAGACAGTACCGTAAATCAAAAAAAGGTTTATTTGTAATTAATTGTTCAAAATCTTCAATGTTTTCACTGTAATTTATTTTTTTATTATTTAGGGAGCATTATAAA